GGCATTTGTAATAATTTATTTGCATCCATTCTCTCGCCCTTTTCTGCAAGGATTTTTATGGTCCCTCTTGCTGAGCATATTTATTATTAAAAACCACAGTTTTATAATACCCAGTCTTTTTCTACAACACACAGTATTGTAGAAAAGGCTTTGCATCTGGCCCCACACTACTTTCTCTGTGCCCATTGGGCTGGAAGTGAAGGTGCCATGGTCTTCAGCTGGGCAGAGTACATGTTCTGCTCGGTGTTTGATCGTAAGGGCATACGAGATCCAAAGGGAGCAATGCCAAGGTAAAGATCCTACCTGGGGACAGAGCCAGGAGAAGCAGTGGGGCCTCTGCCTTGGCGCACAGCTCCCCAAAGCCCAGTCAAGAGCCTTAAGCCTGACTGGGATTTCTTTTGATACTGGGGCACATTCAATGGTCTTTGCTTGATTTCCTGGGACAGCCACAGGAGTTTGAGACCTATGGAAATAAAGGAAGGGAATCCCATCAACCAACAGGACTTCTCAAGTCTTTTCTTTGGTAGAGCTGTGTTTGCTGTGTCCCTACAGGAGCTAGTCGGGGTCCTCGGACCACAAGGAGCTCCTAAGCAACACATCAGGCCTCAGCATATAGTTGCAGCTAAGACCAAGTTGATGGTGAACCATAGAGTGAGAGAAGCCATGTTTCCTACAGATTTCTGTCATGCTGTCCCTCTCTTCCACTTCTGTTATCCCAGCTTTTTCCACTGCTCCATGAAATGTACTGTAGCTGGCCAAGGGGGTGTAACTGCTGGCTGGCCAGCTGGTGCCAACACTGACAGGCCAGTAAGCCACCACAGCCAAGCTCCATTCTGCTTTTGCTCACTGGGTCTCTCCCACAAGCTTCTGAAGCTCATGAAACTTAAGAAGGGTCTGTAAGCTTCCTACTCCCCTGTCAAGTGTGACTGAAACCCACCAGTACATGCAGAAGAGACAAGGAATGATGACAGCCAGCCAGATACCCAGCTCAGACTCAAGATACATCCCTTCTGAAGGATAGCACATCATGCTGCCAACCGCCACTGCTCCTGGGGCTAGGCACTGACCTGGCCAATGCTCTTGCAGTGCCCCAGTGCTGCCCAAAATTACTCCAAAATTGGTTTATCCTTTGGCATTTTGCTTTAAGGCAACATCTGATTAAAATGACTTTGCTTACCCTCACAGCCCTGTCACAGGCAGGTGGACTTTAACAAACCCCCTCCTCTGCTTGGTGCAAGCATCGTGGCCTGGCTCAACGTCAATGATTTGCAAATTGCTAGAAAGCGCCAACATTGCAACAGCATCAGCCACACCACCATGGTGTGCACCCTCTGCCTCCATGGGCTGCTGTGACAAGCACAAGGAGTGTGGTAACTTTGCCACCACCCGAAGGACTTCCAGTAACCACGGATGGAGACCTACCCTCAGCCATGCCACTGGAAACTCCCGCCTGCGCTGGGACCACAGTTGGGTGTGGAGGTGCCCACTGACAGTGATGGGGAATGGCAGAAAGATGGTAGGGAGAAGAAGGTAGCAGGAGGGGGGTGCTGAGGTGTGGGTTGGGGTGCCCCATGGCAGCAGTCCCAGCGTAGCTCCCTGGGCAGCACTGTTACATCAGCCGCTCCATCAGTTTACAACATTCGCCCTTGAGCCTTGGCCCTACAGCCTGCTGCGGTGTGGACACATTGCACAACACCCCTGGCCCTGCTCCCCTTCCCCGCCAGGGCTGCCCCATGGGTGGCTGCTGGGAGGCTGAGCTGTCACAGCAGCATGCCACTGCCCGACAGGAAGAAGAAGACGCTCCATCCACCACTGCCTCTAGCAGGGCACCGGAGGAGGTGGCAGGACCAGGAAGGGTCCCCAAGGAGCTGCTCAAGACTGCTGGTGGAGATGGTCCTTGAGGAATAGTGGCAGGGGAAGGAGGACTGCCCCACAGGAGGGATGGAGAAGCTCTGCCTCCCCTCCTGCAGCAAGGGAGCAGAACTGAACCCCAGTGGTGCAGGAACCACCATGTCCTGACCCAGGGGGGGCTGGGATAAATCCTCCTGGTGAAACAGGAACAAAACCCAGATGAGACCTGATGGGAGAGCAGGACCTTCATTTCAGGGCTGTCTGTCATGGATGGGACCAGTTCGGCACCGCTTCCTCAGGGATAGACACTCTCAGAACCTTTTCCCTGTGCCAGGGAGCAAGCTCTGCCTCTTCCCTCAGCAAGGCACGGGTGTGTGTGTGTGGGTGTGTGTGTGTGATGGAAAGCTGTGGGGCAATCACAAAGACCACTGTGCAAGGGCCTAGCATAGAGCTAAATATAGCCACTGTTTCAGCTCCCCAGAGATAACAGCCTGTGTCCACAGCCGGCCACAACGCCCTGGCTCGACTTCCACCCACCTTTGCTTCGGGAGCAAACACCAAGCAGCAGTTGTGAAACACCCTGCCCCGCTCATGGCAAACAGGGCTTGTATTGAGGGGCAGAAAGACACCTTGCATGCATTCCTCCCCCATGCTGGGGGCCAGCCACCAGCTCAGAGGCTAACCACATCTCCCTCAGCACTTCAGTGGCAATGAGCAGCCAGCAACGTGCAGGAGAAACCTGCCACAGAGCAGAGTGACAACTGTAAGCAAGCACAGGGCTTCCTAGGTTTTGGGCTCATCCCATTAAACTCACTGCTTCCACCTGAATCTTCCTCGCATCCCAAGATCAGCACCACTGAGCCAGGCTGCAGTCACCCTGCCTGGAGAATGGGAGGCAGGAGCAGAGAAGGCCAGTGGCTAGTTACTACCTTTTTGGGTCTCTGCCTGTTGCTCCAGGGCAATTCTGAACATGGCTCTCTCATCCCTGCTGTAAACTATCCCAAAGTAGCACATACTGAAATCCCACCATAGCCTCAGCATGTGAAATACTACTGTAAGTAAGTCTGCAAGACTTCAAGAGCACATCCTTCAGCTCTCTCTCCAACTTTAAATCTTATCACTGCCTATAGCTAGAAAGGGTTTATCAAGTAAAAACAATGGTGGTAGGGTTGTTTTTTTTTGTGTTGTTCTTTCTTTTTTCCCTCAACAAAACCCTTCTGTCTTCCAGAGTAATAAGTTTATGAAATGGCAGCTTCCAGCAGGAAGTATCTGGCTTTAACAATAGCTCTGTGTGTGTTTCCACAAGTTGATTGAAAACAAATGTTGACACTTCAAGCCTGCTTTTATGCTCTGCAAGGGAGGTGAGAGAGAGCAGCATCGTGCACAGCTGTGCAATTACCACATGTGGCACAAAACCAGGCAAATACTATTATCCTCACCGTGGGAGGAGGTAGATGCACCATGTACGCCCTGCAGCAAGCCTTACAGCCTCTGCTGCTTGCCCATTGAGGTGGTATTTGTCCCCAGAGCTGCTTCCCTGTTGGGGCAGCCAGCTCCACGTGCATTTTTCATGTGGCTGAGGATGTTTGGCTCTGCACTGAAGCAGACTCTGGAGCAGAGAGACTGGCAGCAGAAGGGCAGCTGAGAAGACCCCTTGGCCCAGCAGCCCTGGATAGTCCATTTCAGAGCATCAGCTTGCCTGGCAGATGTTTGAAGGGTGCTGGAAGCACCTTCCCAGCTTTGGGACAAGGACAGGGCAGGTCTCTGTGCCAGCAGGGCCCTGCAGGTGTTTTTTCCTTTTGTAAGTCCCCTTATGGTAGTAATTTTTTCCACTCTACACCATAAACCTGGAAAGAGGATTTTGGAGTATCCTCTGGAGTTTTCTACCCAGTGCCAACACAGACTGGAGCCACGGTCACAAGATTTGTGTAACCCTCCTCCCCACCACCCCAGGCCAGCTCAGCTGAGATCAGTGCCCAGAGTCTTTCCTGCCTCAAGAACACATTATAGTCACTTTAGACCTTATCTGCTTATCTGTGATGCCTGCACAGCCGCACTCTCCCCTTCCTGGATAGGTAGAGACTGCACTGTGGCACAGCAGCCATGTGTCGCTGCAGGACACAGAGGGGCTGTTAGTGTCCAAGGCTTGACACGGAGCTGGCATCTTCTTCCACAGCAAGCGCTGTGCTTGGCACTGGTGAGGCCGTACTTTGAATACCATCTTCAGTTCTTGGCTCCTTATGACAAGAAAGACATTGAGGTTCTGGAGTGGGTCCAGAAGAAGGCAACAAAGCTGGTGAAGGGCCTGGAGCACCAGCTTGATGAGGAATGGCTGAGGGAACTGGGGTTTCTTAGTCTGGAGAAGACAAGGCTTGGGTGGGGGGGCTTATCGCTCTCTACAGCTATCTGAAAGGAGGTTGTAGTGAGGTGGGGGTCGGTTTCTTCTCCCAGGTAACAAGCTACAGGACAAGACAAAACGGCCTGAGGTTGTGCCAGGGGAGGTTTAGATTGGATATTAGGAAAAACTTCTTCACAGAGAGGGTGCTCAGGCATTGGAACAGGCTGCACAGGGGTGGGATGGAGTCACTGTCCCTGAAAGTGTTAAAAAACCGTGTAGGTGAGACCCTCAGTGACATGGTTTAGTGGTGAACTTGGCCGTCCTGGGGTAAGGGTTGGACTTGATGATCTTAAAGGTGTTTTTCAACCCAGTTGATTCTGTGACTCTATGAATCTCTACCCGCCCAGAGAAAGGCGGAGGGGCTGACTTCACAAGCTCTTTCCACAGAGGACAGAGTCCCTTAGGTCAGAAAGACCTGGGAAGCGCTGCCGCCGCTCCTCAGCTTCGCTGCTGCCGCCAGACTGCGTCCGCTCCCCCTGCTCAGTTCCTCCTGAGCAGCCGGGCCCGCCGCTGCCCCCCGCTGCCCCCCGCTGCCCGCCGCTGTCCCACTCCACGCCGCGGCCCAGCCGCTCCCCACTGGCTCCCCCGCCGCAGCTCACGGCCCTCCTCGTGCTGGGCCCCCGGCTGCCGATTGGCCCCGCGTCGCGCTGGAGGCGCGCTCATTGGCTGCGGCGCGGGCTGGCCGGGCGGGCGGGTAGGGGCGGTGCCCGCGGTGCTCTTAAGTCGCCGGGCCCAGGGGTGTGCGGGCAGTTGGCGAGTTGTAGGGTGCCGGGGCTGGCCTCATGCACTGCACCAGGTATGGTCCCGTGGGATCGCGGTCTCCTGCCCTTCGCAGCCGTTTGGCTGCCCTCGGTGCCTGATGTGGTCCCCAGTGCAGGGTCGTAGCCCCGTCGGGTGTGCGGGAGCGGGACCGGTGCTTCCTACCGGGTGGGAAGGGGGGCTCTGTTCTTGGCTTCTGGGGCTCTCTGGAGTCCTGCTGTCTCTTCTCCGGGGTGGTCGGCTCGCCTCGGTTCGGGTTTGCAGAAGGGTCGGGCTGCAGCAGGACTAACGCATCTCGTCGGGGAAATGCCTGTGGGAGCTGGGCTGCGCCCTCGGAGCAGCTTGGCTTTCCCTGATCAGAGAGGAGAAGAGGGCAGAGAACCCGAGCGCCGCTTCATCCAGCAGTGTGTCAGGTCTGAAAGCTTCTGGCTTAGCAGCTGCTGCGTGTTGAGCCCTTTGCAAGAAGGTTACCTGTTCACAGGCACTGCTGGAAACAGAATAGAGGCAACTGAAGGGGCTTGATTAAGTGTAGCTGTAAGTGATTCCTTTACTCTGACTTATTTCCCCTACCTAGAGATAGAGGAGGGAAGAGTGACCAGTGATCCTCTTCTGGAGAGGGTAGAGCTGTGGGAAGACGTCCAGAGGCAGAATCTAGTCCGAGAGGAGGTGGAAAGGCATCAGTCTCTGCACCTGCATAGGGTTGCCTACCCTGCACTGCTTGCTTCCTAGAGCTCCCTTTCCAGTGTGAGTGCTTGAAAGTGTTTCCCTGCTCCCACCTTCAAAGCATCTGAAGTTCAAGACAGCCAATACTAGCATTAAAAGGCAAACCTTCCTCTGCTGGCTTGTGAGTTGGGCATCAGCAGGTTCTCAAGTGCAGGAAAATATGTCTGGGGTATTAAATGAGCTGAAAAAAAAAAACCAATTTGCAAAAGCTCAGAGCTCACCCTAATAGTAGGTATGAAAAGCTCTTACTATTTTTCGTAGCTTGAAAAAAGCTCCAAGTGATGCAGATCACGCTGGTTATTTCATGCCTTTTCATTTTAAAAACTTGAATAACCCAGGCTTACTAAGAAACCTGTCTTCTCAGCAGTTATGGGAATCCAGCTGAATACATTTCCCTGGGAAAAGATGCACTGCAGATGGAACTGGCCCAAGTAAGAGGGAAGCATTGAAGGCTGCATTAATGTAAAGAAGGAAATGACCTATATAAAGTGTGTGTGAATAAAAACTTGGTAAAACCAGGTAGAGATGATCAGAACAGTGTTAGCAGACAGGTGGATCTGCTGTCTGTCTTGCATAGCTGCCCTTGAGCTGAAAGGAGGCTGAAGGAGGCATTGCAGAAGGAGTTAGCTGGTGGGTGTGTTGGGAAGCAAGCCTTGGCACATGTGCTTTAAATAAGCAGATGCCCTTGCTGAATGGATGCTGTGAAAGCCTGCTCAGAGCTGCTCTGTTGGTGTTGCAGGGTGGGGAGCTACAGCACTGAATCGGATAGCGTAGGTCTTGCTTTTTCTTGGCACGGGGCAGCAGTCAAGTATTAGAGCTGGCTGTGCGCGGTTTTGGCAGCTAGTGCTCTGCTGTGTCACGTGGCTGGTGGTCACTGCTACTGCTGCTGGCTCGTCCAGCTCTGTGTGGTGGGATCAGCTTTGGAGCCTGGCCTGCAGCCAAAGGGGGGATTTTTATTAAGGGAATACTTTGTTTAAGGTCAGCTGTGATGCTGTTGACTTAAGGGAGATGTATGCGATAAATCTGTCCAGCAGTTTGTCTGGAGCCAGGCCAAAGACTCTGCCAAAGGTATTCAGCCTAACCTCAGTGTAAGGGCAGGAGCGATAGGTATGGTGCTCTGTGAGCTGCCTTGCTGCCTGCAGAGGCAACTCCAGGGCTACCTCCATTAAGGTGCTGGGTAGGAGCTGTTCTGTAGTGGGTGAACGAAGAGGGATGGTGCTGCATCCCTGGAGAAAGAGGCTTGGTACTGGTGAAGGGGAGGAAATGGTGGAGGGACACATGGCCTGCTCCTTCCAGGGAAAGGACTTGCTTCTAAAGGCTTGGTCAACCTGGAGTAGGTGAGTTGTGTTTGACAGACCCCTGTGGTTACGCATGTGATTCCCAGGGGCTCAGTGCAAGCACTGTGTAGGCTTGAGGTGTGGACGTAAAGCCTGTGGGGCCATCTGAGCTAACCTCTATTTTAAAGTGTGGTAGAGGGAAGAAAGGCTCTTCTGTGGGTGCAGACTAATGTTGGCTAAATCTCTACCCTGATGCTTACCCTGATGCTGTATGGGACTGTTGCTATCCTTACAATACTACTTGCAGGCATTTTGGATACAGCAGTTCAGGTAGACAGTGAGCAAAGTATGTAGCTCAACCACATGAGGGCTCGTAGCCTCTAAAAATGCCAGACATTTGGGGTTCTATGAAAGGAGGGGTCAGTTGCTTGCAGTAGTTTGTGACAAACTGAGTTTGTGCTCCTACGAAAGCATCCAATACCCTGGGGAGAGACTTTCCTTGAGGGCAGAGAGTACAGCAGGAATACTGCTTTACGTAGCATTGAAATTTGGTAATTTCTGGGTTTTGTGGACATCAGCAGGACTGAGCTATGGGCTTTGCTCTGGAGTCTGTTATTGCTAGCCTAGTAGAGCAGTGCCTCTGTGTGTGTCTTCAAATGGTAATTCTGCCCCTGTAGCAATTGGAACAGATCTTGTTCAAAGGTACAGCAGGCTCTGCTTCTGCCATTTGTGCTGCAGTATGTTTCTCACTGTGTATGTGAATCTTGCTGTGCAAGTACCTGCTTTCTTAAGGTTGAGCAGCTTGTGGGGTTGATGAAAGCAAGCTGCTTTGGGATGACTTGGGGGGAAGTGGTGTAGCACTTGTATGACAAAAGTCATATTAAAATGCTTTTCTAACATCTACTGACCCTTCTTACCTTCCAGAGTATTAGACTATTTTCCTCACAAACAAGCAATGGCTGTGGATGTAGCAATGCAGCTATACCTTTGCTCTTCACCCTTGCTAAGAGACAAGTGTGCCTGCAAAATTGCTCCGAAGACAAGCAAGCCACTGCGGCCCTGCATCCAGCCGAGCAGCAAAACTGCACTGACTGGACCAGAAGAGGCAACAAACTCCTTCACACACAACAAAGTGAAGAAGAGGGTGTCGTTTGCAGACAGCAGGGGCTTCGCTCTGACGATGGTGAAGGTGTTTTCAGAGTTTGACGATCCACTAGATATTCCTTTCAACATCACAGAGCTGATAAACAATATTGTGGGCCTGACAACAGTGGAGAGGGACAGCTTTGTCCTGGATTTTGTTCAGCCCTCTGTGGACTACCTGGACTTCAGAAACCGCCTCCAGGTGGACTGTGTCTGCCTTGAAAACTGTATGCTGAAGGAGCGATCCATTGTGGGAACAGTGAAGGTGAGGAACCTCGCTTTTGAAAAGACTGTGAAGATCAGGATGACATTTGACACCTGGAAAAACTTCGTAGACTACCCATGCCAGTATGTCAAGGATACGTATGGAGGGTCGGACCGGGACACCTTTTCCTTTGACATCAGCTTGCCCCAGGGAATTCAGTCCCATGAAAGAGTAGAGTTTGCCATCTCCTTTGAGTGCAATGGGAAGGTGTACTGGGACAGCAACAGGGGCACAAATTACAGGATCATACGGTCAGAACTGAAGTCCGCCCAGGATGCTGTCTGCCCCCCCAAGGGCCCTGACTTTGGCAGTGCCTTTGACCAGTTTGGGAGCCCTCGGTGCTCCTACGGCCTCTTTCCCGAGTGGCCCAGCTATTCAGGCTATGAGAAGCTAGGGCCTTACTACTGACCCAAGAACAGAGTCCTGACTGACTAACTGTTGTTGGCTTGTCCACAGGCCTGAGAGCTGGTCTGAATGCGAGGTATATGGAAAGGACAAAGATGTATGGTTTCAGGCAGCTCTGCATAAGCCTCGGAGCAAAACCAGTTGTGGAGTGCTCTGCTGGCAGTGGACTGAATAGCTAGGGAAGTGTCTCTGGCCCAAAGGGCTGCCTTCCCTGCCCCAACTTGGATAACTGTCTCTCCAAATGCTCAAAGAACCAGGAGCTGTTGCTTGTGTTTCTCTTCAGTGCTGCTACTCCCTCCTCTTCTGTAAAGCTGCTAGTCTCCTGGGAAACACTACAGTGCTTATATCACATGTCCAGACTATGTAGTGGTGGTTGGTTTGTATTGCTTGCCTAGTGCTAAAAAGCTTTTTCAAAGTATGTTCTGTTACCGTTTTAGTGAGCTGTACTGCAGCTGCAGGGCTGTCCTTGCAAAGCTGGCCTGTGCTTGTCAAGTAGTAGAGGGGTTGGCTTGTATGGAATGGAGTACCATCCTTGCATGTGTCCTTGTAGTGCGAGGTCCTTCCTACTGGAGCCAGAAAGGGTGTTTTGGAAGTGAAAATGCAACTGTGATGACAGGAAATGTGGTCCTACAGGCTGCCGTATTAGGAGACTTGTGTGCCTGTGGGAGAAGATCTTGTGCTTAGTCACCAGTTGTTTTATCAGCTGATCTCTAAAAACTCTTGTGGTGTTACCTAAAATAGAGATTAGCTGTAGCTGTGTGGTGCTTGTAACACTGCTGTGGGTTGACAGCCTTGAATGACTTCTTAAACTTTCCTGTTTCTTTAATCACAAGTCATCAATGATGCTTTTTCCCTTTGATGGACATCTGAAGTCAGCTGTTGGCCATGTTTGGCCCTGAAAACACCATTCTTCCTCCTGTGGACTGTAAAACGGGGCTTTGTCTGGCTGGGGCCCAGAGTCCTAAGCAGGAGGCTGTGCTCAGGTGTTACAGGAGCTAAATGCAAATGGATCACATAGCTACTCTGCTGTGTTCTGTTACAAGAAGGTAACTGTTGTGTACCTACTGTGGTGGGAGTGCCTTGACTGAGAAAGGGGTGGTATGTGTGATCCCAGTGATGTTTTGGGATAAACAGGCTCTGGAAATGACACTGCTTTTAAAAAAAAAATCTTCTAATGGACTGCTTGGCAGGTAGTGGTGTGGCACTGCTCACATGCAAGGATGCTGTGGCTATACTGGGTGAACATCAACATGCTGGGCTTCCTTAGCTGTTGTAGCAGTAGCTGCCTTTTCAACCTGTAAATACCCAAGCTTTGCATCTCTGTGTCCATAAGAAGTGGCCCCTCCTGTGTAGAAAACTAGCCATGAGGTGGGTGAGATGCAGGGTTTATCCTGACATCACTCTGGATGTGAAACAGATCATGGGTGTGAGCCATCCCTATCCTCAAAGAGGTGGCTCATCATCTGGGCCTGTGCTGAGGTGAGGTGGCCAGCTTGTGCAGTGCCAAGCAGCCTCACAAAGCTTCTTGAGTATTAGTTGAGCAAAATAATTTAATCCCTCATCTCAAAGCTAGAGTTCTGAGTAGTTTGTAGAAATAGAGGTCACGGGAATCTTACCTTTTCTAGTGTATAAGCTTTATATAATTTTTGGGGTGCCTATAATAGCCTATGGGTGGGCTGGAGAGAAGCAATGGACTAGGCTACTTAACTTTTTAAACCCAGCTTTTAATTCTGGAGATTGTGTGAAATACTTACACACTGTTTTACCCTAACCTAGAAGGCATACTGTGATCACTGTTGGATGCCAAAAGGAACAAGAGCTTGCAGGAAGAATACTTTGCCTTTAACTGCTGCTTTCTCAAAACCCAACATCAATGCACGTCACCACTGTGCCTGATCACTTAGTCAAGGTGGTAAATCTATTTGCTAGCCCAGAGCTCATCAGGCTTGTTTCCTTTGTTTAAACAGCTTCACAAGTCAGCCCTTACAATTTGCATCAGGTCTCTCTTGACGGGACTGTTGCCTAGATTGGCTTGATCCTTGTTTTAAACTTAAAGCAAGTCTGAGTGGCACTGATTTTCTTTTAGTTTTTTAGTGTATGGTGTTAATGCTGTAAGACACAGACTGTAGAAAAGTCATGTTCTCCTGGCGTGTTCTTGTGCCTATGGAGAGCTGTTTGTGGGCCGAAAAAAGGCATGTATGTCTGGGGTGCTGTGGATGGTGGTATCTCCTTATGGGGCCTGTTTGCTTTCAGGCTGGGGCTGGGGAGTACTTAGGGAGGAACATGGAAGATAAGCTAGAAGAGCAATGCCATAAGTAAAAGCTAGGCTGGGAACTGACTATTTGACCAATAGCATTTTAAAAATACTACTTGTGGCCTTTCCCTTTTTCCCTTTTTACATTGCCAATGTGAACATAGAAGTGAGGGATTGCTTTCCTCGCTCTATGCCTGGAAGTGCCTTGTGGGGTATGTTGCATGTTTGTTTTTAAAGATATTTTTGTACACAACATTCAAGTGGAAAAATGCACTTTATAATTGCCATGTAATGACTTTTAAAACTATGGCTCTGTTTTTATCTGATTGTTAAAATAAAGGTGGAACAAAATGTTGGCCGTGTATCTTGCAGTCATCTCATTTAAACACCCATGGGACTGAGGAGGCAATTAGCACATGGGACTAGCTTCCTGCAAGTGGCCATTGGTGGGGAGGAGCACACATCCGCAGTGGACTCTGCTGCCTGAAACAGGAAAGCGCTGCCTGTTCCTGCTGCCTTCCTGCCAACACAAATGCTTCCAGAGCCTCTGGAACCATGGGAAGGACGAGAGGAGCTAGTTCCTTCTCTCTGTCCTCTAAAGTTTTCCACTAACCACTGTGTTCCTCTTCACTCTTCCCCTGTTTGCAGTGCCAGGAACAGCCTTTTCAGGGTTTTCTGTGTTTGGTTTGGGTCAGTCCTTGTCCTTCCTCACCTGGCTTCATCTGGGATTAATGCTTTCTCTCTGCCTGGGTACTGGGGTGTAATGGATGCTAGAAGAGGTGTTGCAGGAGGAGTGTCAGGCTCTTTTCTAATACCAAGATCAAGTGAAAACTAGATTCTTCTTCACCTCAAGCTAGCTGTTCCTGTTGCCACTGCAATAAAAAGCACTGGCAGGAAATATGCCCCTTTGCAGAAAGGGAACAGTCCTGTTGTAAATGCCAGCCAGGGCTAGTTTCAGGATTTGACCTGGCTTTGACAACAGAGACCAGATCTTGGTGATGCCCTGAAGATGCTGTTACTGAGCTTGGTGGCTTTTTTTCACTTACAGGTAAGGAAAGCTGGAAAGAGGGAAGAGGAAAAAAACACAGGCTTGGTGAGGCTGGCTTGAGGGGCTATGCAGGCAGTACTTCCTTGCTCCAAAACCTTGCAGAGATCAAGCTTAGGCTTTGTTCTGTACAGAAATTAACCTGAGCACCTTCGGACTGTGGCTATTTCTGAGTCTCTCATTTTCACAAGATGAGCTGTCTTTCCAGGGTGCTTTGCTTTTTGCAGCAATGAGGTAAGGTAAAACTTTAGGTTTCTCAGGTTCCTTTCCCCAGTCTTTGTATTGCAAAACCAAGCATGCTGATATAGTGGGATGCAAGCTCTTCCAAAAACTTATGAAAAGAGGAGTATGTGACCTGGATGCACCTGAGAAAAGGGAATTGCATGGTGTTTCTTGCTGGTCTGTGACATTTTCTTCCTCTGTGGCTCAGGGGAGCCTGTGTTGGCTGTCACGCACTGTGGTTTGCGCCCAGAGGTCCTTGTGGTAATGTCTTCGGTGGGATTCCTCCAGCTGCCCACGCTCCCATAGGAGTGCTTGGGCCCTGGGCAAGGGAACAGCACAGACTCAGGGGTGTGCTGAAGGGTGGAAAAGTTAATGTGTGTGATTTTTCACATGCAGACAGAACAGCAGTTTTGCCATGAGAAATAGCATGAGGCAAAGGGCTTTGCTTTCTTGGCAGTCATTTGCCAGTCCCTTTTCTCCATTAAAAATGCTTCAGTTTTATTACCACTGTTCTTTTAATCAAGCCCACAGCACAGATCTCTCTTAGAAGCCCATCTGATTGTTTTTCTGGTTACAGGGGAGAAAAAAAAGTACATATTTAGAAGTCAATTATGCCCCTGACCCAGCACATCTCTAGGTGATTTAGGGCTTGGCTAGGGCTGCTGTCACATCTGAACACTGGTCCAAGCTCATGAGCGAGACAACTGCAGTCAGCCCTTTCCTGTAACAGTTTTGTGGCTGAAAACCCTGTGTGACACTGGTTTCTGAGAGATAAGGAAGTCCAAGCTAAGCCTAATGACATCTGGGGCAGCTGAGGAGATGTGCAAGAGGTAAGAATGCTCTTGGGTTTCTCTCCTGATGCCCAGGTGTTACATACTAGAGGATACAGATGATGCAGTTACTATATTTATAAAGCCTTTGGTGGCAGGTGTGATTGTTCACTTGCTGCTTAATATGCAAAGACTTCTTGGAATGCTCCTGGCATCCCCAGCCTTTGCTCTGAGGTTCCCAAACCTCTGTATCCTGAGGGGTTTCGTTGCCACCTCTTGGCAGTAATAATTAAGCTGGGATGTCTTGATCTCACCTGAGGTGTTTGGAGGGTCAGGTTTCCTAAGTCTGTGCTTCATGGACAGCTCTGAAAGGGGCAGGTCTTCCCCTGGTTCATATCCAACTCCCTCTGCCAAGCTCAATCTCCCACTAGCCTGGGGATGCTGTCCTACAAGTCCTATAGGAAGCGTATGGGATCTCTGCACCTGAATCCTGGCAGAACAGGGTCAAAAGTGTTTAATAATATTGTGAAAAGTAGATCCAAGCACCTCAGGAAGAGCACAGGTGAGATCTGGCTGCTCTCTTCCTGTTCTCATCATTGCCGAGAGGGTTCTTGATGGGGAATGTGGGCTGCTAGAGCTGTCCCCAGCCTTGTCTGGCTCCAGAGCAGGGCTGGTGATTGGCTGAGAAAGTTTGCTCATGCATTGGAGAAGGTCCTTGAGTTTAGGTTTCAACACATGCTTAGCTAGGCTCTGCTTAATCAGGAAGTGAGGCTCTGTTGCTAGCTGAGCACCAAGCAGCAGTAAAAGCAGAGCTATACCTGAGACACACAACCCTCAGTGTGAGGAGGTGATGAGCAAAAATGTAGGAAATCCAAGGTCAGTATTTCCTTTCAATCCCAAAGGATGGTTCAGCCTGCTGTGTCTGTGCACATGCTGTATGAGCACCCCACATTCTTGCTTTAGGTGTTTCCTAGGGCAGAGTCAGCATGGGGGATACTCTGGTGAAAAACTGCCCACAGCAGCGTTAGATGCAGAGGGCTGGAAAAACACCACTGCCAAACCATGGGAGTATAAATGCATCCAGATTGTCCTTTGCTGCTGGAGCAAATTTTACTTTGGTGTTAAATGTAGATCTTACAGGCACTCAAAGTGGAGAGTGACCCGTGGAGGATGTGTTTGCCTTGGTAACAGCAGGCAGCAGGAGTGTAAGAGGGGAGGAAGAGAGAGCACATCCCAGGGGCAGACAGTGTTTCTTTGGTTTCTCCTTCACAAACTGCCAGCAAATGAGGCTCACAAAGAGATGAGGTCTTTGGGGGCATTTGAAGCCCTTTTAACAGGGCTACCTGTTGCTCGGTAGTGTCTCTCTCATGCACTATAGCAGGGCATTGCCCTTTTCTGTTCTTACACACCATGACACTGTTTCTGCCACTGCCAGTATAACCACCACCAAACTCATGCTTGCGTTTGGTTTCACGATGTCTTCCACAAGCTTGTGTGTGGTCTGCAAGCAGGAAGGGCACTTGTGTGCAGTGGGAGGAGGCTGTGCTAAGGACACAGCTCTCAGGAGCACTCTGCACCCCTGGGAGCAGCACAGAGCTTTGCCATAAAGCCAGCACCATGGGGCTGGGTTGGGATGCTCCGAAACTCCCCTGGTGTTTCCACAGACTTGCTCCTACTGGGCAGTTCAGCTGGCTCTAAGCTATTGCAATAAAACACATTCATGTCCTTGTCTCTTTTTGATGGAGCTAAGCTTCAAACCAGCTGCTCTGGCCCAGCAAGGTTCTGCTACACTGCAGCCAGAGAAGCTGCCTCGCCTGTCTTTATCCTCCCCCTTGGAGGGGTACTGTGCCAGGCAGTTAGCTGTCTTTAAAGACTTGTTAT